CTCACGAGCCGAGCTCGTTAAGCCGAAAACTCGGCTCGACTCGGCTCGATAACACCCCTACCACCAACCCAGCCACTGTCGACAACGGCAACCTAACGGTACACGGAAGGCAGAAAATGGCTTCCGTGCACCGTATGGCCATTTCCGGCTAGAGATCTAACCGGAAATGGTAGACGTGATAGATTGACTGTCGCAGGCCAGATCTAATCTGGTCTGGCCGTTGACGGCCAGATAGCGGCCATTTTCGGCCTTCCGTGCGTTGTTCTGGTTGTGGTAGCGAGGTAGGTGGGTGGGGGTGGTGCTTGGGTAGGTTGCAATTTGTTTTGAATTCAAGGGTAATTTTGTCCAAAAAGTTAATTAATGGGGTGAAATAGTAAAAGACATATTTATGTAAATAAATTTAAAATAAGGGGTATTGTCCTAAAATTTTATTAATAAGGGATAAAATTGTAATAAAAAAAGATAACCCTGGTAACTTAGATAACCTAAGAAAATGGAGGTAATTAGATTACCTCCAATATATAATAATACCACTATTGGTATTTGAAGATTACCGGTATTTTATATTACTTGACAACTAAATATGGTAATCAAGTAATATAAGATAAACTTAACCCTAGTAATCCCATATAACCTTAAACAAACGCCCCTAAATCTTATATACTATATATATATATATATATATATATATATATATATCTAATATAATATATTGTTATAGTATGATATGCTTGATTCTCCATGCATATATCTTTCAGTTATCTCACTGGGTAATTCAGCAAATGACAATGACACTAAATCTGTGGCCATAGTGGGATTGAGTTGTTGCTCTATCCAATTTGATATTCCTGTCATTGGTCCAATAACTGAATACAAACATGTCGAGGATATTTGAGGTTGACACTATTTTTGTACCTCAGTCTCGATGAGATAATAGTTGATGAAAAGATTTGAGTGCATGGTAACCATACCGTTGACAGGCTGCGGTTTCGCTGAATCCGAATCTATCGAGTGGCCATGATGCCTTACTAGGGGTCAATCTTGGTCTGTGTGTAATGAGATGATTAATTGGTGTTAATCGCAATACTATACACTGCCGATATGATGAGGAACCTACATGTCACACACTTAGAAGATGATTTAAGAATCATTTTGTGAGAAGGGTATTTTCATCTTTCAGGATGAAATTGTATTTTGGTAATCTCGCAGTGCAATTAAATTTGTTGAGATTGTTGCCTGTATTTAATTTGATATTAAAATTAAATACGTGAGATTATATTTAAATATATGTATGCATATATTTAAATGAAATGTTATTATTAATTAAATGTTAATATATTATTACATATATATATATTAATTGATTTTAATTATAATAATAATTAATTAATTTAAATACCAATTACTTGGTGTTTGGTTGCAAGGGTAAGCTTGGGTTGGTGCCCATGGGTATTCCTTATTGGAATAGGGTTTTAATTAGTTGCACTATATAAGTGTAACTTAATTAAAACAACATAAATACTTTTTATAAAACAAAACCCTAGCCACCCTATCTCTCTCTCTCTCTCTCTCTCTCTCTCTCTCACGTTTTCACTCTTTGAGTGAAAAGAAATTTGTCCTTTTGATTGTTCTTGATTCTTGATGCTGGTAATTGTTCTAGCAAAACAATTGTCGGTTCTTCGGATTATCTTTGTGTGGATTTCCGTGAGTGCGATCCTACATTGGATCGATTAGTAAACAGTGTCAGTGAACAGTTCGATGAACAGTAATCAGTGAACAGTGTTCGTAAGCAAAGTCAGAGATATTCAGAGGAGCCTTCAAATGTCGGTATGAACTAAATCCTTGTATGGATTTGCTTTAAACAGATTTTATTTTTACGTTTTGGTTTATGCTTGAAAAACGTTATAACCTGTACTTGGATCTTGGTTTGAGTAAGTGATCTTTTCGTTTTAATATTACGCTTGTTCCGTAACGCGAACCTAATCACTTACTTACATTCGAAGCCCAAAACGAGCATCGAACACTAGGGGGCAGATGTGTGTGATTTTTCCATCAAGCTTGGTGAGTTACAATTTCTTAGTCGACCCAGAATCAGTCTGACTCTATCGGTTGTCTGACCTAGCATAAGCTCGTCAACAAATAGCTCGACCTAGCACAAGCTAGTCGCGAACAATCTGAATAATCATTCAATCGATTCCTAGATAACTTCAGATCCTAAATATTACGGGAATGACTACATTAATAACAATCTCTGCGCAATCACAGTGTCCAATCGCGAGAATATCAAAGTTACATTTCAAATCAATTGTAATCCCTTTATTTTCGCTTTTTCCTTTATACAAACATTGTATATAAACCCCCTCAAATGATGAAAAAGGGGTTAGAGATTTTCCATAGAACTATTGTTGTAAGCTCTCACAGCAAATACAAGAACAGTGGATGTAGGCTCGAGAGTTTACCTTGCCGAACCACTTTAAAGATCTCATTGTCACTTACTTTATTGCATTTTATTATTCTTCCACCGCTGATTATCCGTAATCATGCCCACATTTGTTCTGATTCCACCAAGGTCAATCAGATATCTTTGGTTGGTGCGAATTTTCATACCAACACAGACTATTTTCCTGATATTGCTTGTAAGACATACAAAGATGGGGTAATGCTTTGTTTACAGAGAAAAATAATGGTTGAAGCTCTCGTATGCCCAACTGTCATATGCCTAGCCTACCTTTTTCATGAAGAGAGGTGCCCATTTATACCTTTGAGGTCAATGTAATGAATGTTTTTTACAAGCTGTCTTGGCTTTGTCTTTGAGTGCTTGTTGAGCTCTGATTGGTGGTGCTAACATTAGTATGTATATTTGGCATAACAATTAAGAACAATTAATTACCTATATAATCATACTCGAAAGTTATTATGATATTATTCCATAAGATTGATCATGCCAATTTTCCCTTAAACTAGAGGAAGGTATTTAAAAGGATTGATGACTTATACAAGAGGCATGAATTGGCTATAGAGGAGTGAATTGGCTATTTAATTCTAAATCACCAAATTTTTGGCTCCTAAGTCACTAAATCAGTTTTAATGTAAGAGCAATGCTAGTTTTACAATGACACATATAAAATGGGCATATAAAGACAATCCCCACCCTTGATTTTCATGATTTCTCTCTCTCTCTCTCTCTCTCTCTCTCTTTCTCTTTTTTCGTTTTTTCTTTGTTTTTTTCTTCTGGATGATGTCACTTTGTAGCCCTCTTTGTATGAGTTTTTGTAAGGATATCATTTTTCTTAATGTAATTGATAGAATTTGAGCATTTTAACAAGTTACACAATTGATTGCATGAAATAAATAAAATCAAATATGGATTTATAGTGGTTCAACAAACTTGCCCGCGTCCACTACTTTAAATTCATACTTGAAGATTTTTACTATTTCATTTAGTCTTCAACCAAGATTAAATTTTTTCTTCCAAGGTAAACCCTCTTCTTTCAACAATAGTGCAACCCACACTCAAAGCTTTCAAAGAAATAGAAAAAAAATAGATCTCGTTCTCGCTATGAGTGTAAAATCAAAACACAAGCTCATAAATATTCCTAAGAAAGACTAGGGTGAGTTATTGAATGACAAACTCAACTTCAAAGCTCAATTTAAAATTAACCAAATTTTAGGGAGTTTAAACAAAATTAACAACTCTAAACCCTAAACTATATTAACCAAGATGCATCTTTTAATATATACATTTTTTGTAGTTCTCTTCTCTGTCGTAACTTCCGAAATCTCATCACTTCGCGTATATTAACCCTAAGTTCACGTACACAAACTAGGTGTTTTTATGCGAATCTTTAGTTTGCCTTCTTCGAATGAAGTACACAACAATCTCAGTTTTTTTGTCATTTTAACACAATAGTTACACATAATAACCTAATATAATCATATAATTATATAAAAAAAAAGTATCTAAACTAATAGATTAACTCCAAATCATAATTTGCCACACTATCATTTTTATTTCCCAAACAAAATTTTAGAGATTAAGATTTTAAAATGAAAAAAAAAAAGTAAGAATATTCGTCAAAAACAAAATATATTATTCTTCGTAGATTAATATAATATTATTGGTCTCTTTTTTTTTTCTTAAACCCTTTGCTTCGTCATCTTCACCTTAGGAAAAATATATTGTTAAACAAATAATAAATTTTAGGGAAGAAAAAAGTGAGGGAGAGAAAAAGAAACAAACAATTGTAAATTTATCGGTTAAGTTTCGTAGACAAATATTTTCTATAAAAATATTACTTTCTTCATTGTAAGGTTTTTTGTCAACTTATAAAGTTATGTGTGCATATTAAATTGTTTAAAACACAATCGTGTCTATAGTTTATACATATTGTAACATATTGCATATATGTATGCACAATTCCTTTGTTTGAATATATTGTAAATGTGTGTGTAGATATCCTAGTTAGTAAAAACGCGTATTATACGCGAATTATACGGACAGCCGTATAATTCGCGTATAAAACGCACGTATACGAATTTTGTAAATTCTGCCGAATTATACGCGTATTTTAAGCCCTCCCGTATAATTCGCGAATAATTCGCGAATTATTGAAAAAAAAAGGGTCACCCCCAAAACGACGTCGTTTAGTGGGTTTTTAACTAAAAATTAAAGCAGATCTCGGTCTTCAGTTCTTCTTCAGTTCTTCAGTTCTTCTTCGGTTCTTCCTTACTTCAGTTCTTCTTCAACTTTTCTTCCTCAAATCTTCACGTTTTCAGCTTTAAGTAACCGACTCGAGAAGATGAGTGATGGCACTAGTGTTTCGGTGTTGGCATGTTGCAGAGACACGAAAAAAGAAAACTGTAGAAGCTTACAGAACTCTCTCCGTTTCTCTATTTAGATAAAGATTTCCTAAGAAAGCCGTGAATGTACCAGACTCCTCTTTTGCTTGCTATATATAGTCGTACTTAGTACAATCAGTTTCATCAATCAAGCAAGAATTTATAATACACAAACGAAAAACTTAGAAATTACACAATGGCTCTAAGTCTTTTCGGTGGCCGCAGGAGCAACGTGTTCGACCCTTTCTCTCTTGACATTTGGGATCCTTTTGAAGGCTTCCCATTCACCACCACGGTTGCTAATGCACTCTCATCTGCACGCGACACCTCAGCCATTGCCAACACCAGAATTGACTGGAAGGAGACCCCGGAAGCTCACGTCTTCCAGGCTGATCTTACAGGGCTAAAGAAGGAGGAAGTGAAAGTCGAGGTTGAAGGCGGAAGTGTTCTTCAGATAAGTGGAGAGAGGAGCCAAGAGAACGAGGAGAAGAATGATAAGTGGCACCGCGTTGAGAGGAGCAGT